ATATAAACAACAAACCGGAGCTATCACAACTTTAGTGAGCAATCAATCTAATGCTGTTCATTTACTTTTAGAGGTAGCAAACTGCAATACCATCAAGTGTACTTCTGGTCAGCAGTGCATCATGAATGTAAAGAAACCTCTATGTATCGACTGTAGTACTGGCTGCAAAAGCACAGCCAATAAACCTATTAATTATTACGGCAAGAAGGTATGCGGCTCAAACCATAGGACTTTCCCAAACTTATGTGCTTTGAAGAAGCACATTTGTTCCAAACATGTAGCTGTTGATGTTGTGAACTATGGAAAGTGCCTACTCGGTGAGTGATTTGAATAGACATAATCCTTTTCTATAAACCATTATGAACCCTTTCAGGACGGCAATTAAATTTTTATTTTCATGTATTTTCAAACAAAGAAAAAAACAAAAACAACAGCAGCAAAAATAACAACAAAAACATTCAAAATATAATACGATTTTTGGTGGTTTTGACCGATTACATTGGTAGGGGCGGAAGTAGTCAACCTAAGAGACTTTGAGAGGCTTTGCTTTGCGACAATTTGATTCTATTTTAGCAAATTTACACTGATATATGTACCACTTAAAATTCAATTCGGCTTTGAGTGAGTTGGTGTGATTTTAGGAGATTTTGGGTCCTAAAATGACCAAGTTATAAAATCTTCCTTCTGGCCAATGTTACTGGGTTTTAAATAGAATGCCACACCCGCCAATRTAAGTACTTTTTTACCYATGCCTAGACTACGGTATAAAGTGCTGCGCGTATAGTTTTTTTCCCTCTGTTTTTCTTATTGCCAAGTCGAACTTTGTTTGATAAAATTGACTTGTTCTTCAGTATTCTTACTAGACATAACATAGCCATATACGTATAACCATCAGTGTCTATTGTTGTTTAAATCCTTGTTAAAACTTACAGAATTTTGGCAAAGATGCTATATCTAAATCAAAATATTTAAGCAGATTAAAGAGAGCAAGAAAAATGTTGAAATAACAATAGCTCTAGAAATTTAAATCTTAGCCTGTATTCTCATAAGACCTAGAGTTGATCCTTCTGGGAATACAGGCTTAGTTTCAAAGCGGAGAAAATGCAACTTTGTGGAGCTATTGTTGTGACGACATTGTTTCGTGCWTTCTTGTTTTTGACTAKAAGTTCTYTACGCACCAGAGACTATAGTCAGCTTAAACAACGGCCCTCGCTTTGACGGGGAAGAGGCGTATTGCTTGCTAGGGGGCGGTCCCTGATGTAGCCTCGTTCCCAAACGGCGAGATATGACACTGGGAACGAGATTGGCTGCCATTTTGAATTATCCTTCGCTGACGACCCCTCAAAAGCTTGAAGCCTGATAATATGATCCTTTGACACAGGGATCCCGGTACGTGCTGATGAGTATGCTGCTTCTTCGTTTCGCTCATTCTCAGCAATAGTCTCCTTCACGGATACCTGCGCCATCTTGAAAGGTAGCCGTGCCTTTGCACCGAAGCGAGGCGACCGTTGAGCGTGCAATGATAGATACCTGTAAATAATTGTCTATAGGTGTGAAAGAAGGTTTCTATCATTGCACGCTCAACGATTGTCTCGCTTCGATGACAAGGCACGGCTACCTTTCAAGATGGCGCAGGTAACCGTGAAGGAGGTTCATACTGTGAAACATAGCACGAACTCAGTGTTTCACGCTTAATTGGTGAAAGCACTCTAATTGATGGGTCTGAATAAATGTGTTAATCTTTAGGGTCTGAATAAATGTTTTAATCTTTAGGAAGAAAATTTCCATCATTGAGTGTACGTAAATTTAAAGCGCTCCAGCGAAAAGAAYTGACAGTCCAACAGCTGCTTCAGTTGGGTAATAAACTTGGAGTACCGCTAACCTTAAAGAAAAAGGCACGGAAAAATATMTTGATGCAGAAAGTCAGTATTAATCGTTTACTTCACCATATTTACAAAACTGTCACCAAAAGCAAGATATAGCTGTTTTAAAAGAGGTTGTAGGTGAGAACGGCGATTAGCAATTGTCTAACCGAGTTTTTTGCTTGAGAGGCGCTATATAACATTTCTAAGGCTTCAGCGACCTTGGGCAATACTCCAGTTTCGAGATCTTAACCTCGAAAGCATGTAATATATTTCTTTTATTCAGCAGAGATCCTATTGTTATAAAAATGCTTGAAGCTAAGCTTGCACAAAAGAGAATTTGAAACTGGAGTATTACCATTCTCCGTTCTCACAACCTTTCTTGAAATAGGTGCAGTTAATACTAAGAATGGAATGAGTGGAATTATTGTCAGTAAGCTTGTGCAGTTTGAATACTATTGGCCTTTCTGAAATTTAACTAAAGGGGTGTAATAATATAGTAAATGCTGCCAGATACTRCTGTTAGATGGTAAATACACTTTGTATGGAGTCAAGCTTTCGMTGTTCTACAGCATCATGAAGACTGAATACAATGTGCTAAATTAAGGTGCCTGAAAATACTCCAATATTGGAAACTAGAACCCTCGCCGCGTGAAAGACCGTACTGTAGCCTGCGTGGCGGCTCTAGGTGAAGGGGGAAAACGGAAGGGGAGGGCCTATCCAACAGCGTTACACAGGACTTGTTGGACGATTAAGATCACAGTTTTCCCTCRCTGACTTTTCAATCCATCTTTCTGTGTTGTTTTGGTTTCAAGAGTTCTCGAAATAGCCTGAATATCGTTATTTTTACTGCGAATTTAAAACGTCAATCACATCGTTGATTTAAACCAATCAGGAAGCGCGGCCTCTCGCGAGTACACGATTTAGCGGTTCTTTAGAGCAGGCTCTCCTTTTTTCCGCTCCGCCTCCCCACCACCTCCCCCCTTCCCCCTCCTTTAGAGCCGCCACGCAGGCTAACCGTACTGCAATTAGAGTTATTTTGACTCTATTTGCTGGAATACACTTATTTCAAAAAGCGTTGTCGGGGAGAACGRCGAACGGCGATTGTCGAAGGGAGAATGCACGACCGAAAGGGACTATGGTTACGCTGTTTGACATACAAAAAATTCAATTGTTAGGTTTACTTGCGTGAAAAAGGAGACTAAATGGAGCCRATGATGACCATAGRAAATCTTACGGTAAAAATTAGTCATTATTCCCCATCCATTAGCAAAACCCATGGCTCCTTTCGGYCGTGCAATCGCCGTTTGACAATTGCCATTCGCCATTTTATCCGACAACCTTTTTTGAAATAGGTATAACCACCGAGTGGCAATTTTTTATGAAATTTGCGATAATATAACAGGATGCATGTTTCTTAGGACGACGCTCCAATGTCTCATACATCCTGTTATCTATGTATGTTTTCTTAGGACGACGCTCCAATGTCTCATACATCCTGTTATCTATGTATGTTTTCTTAGGACGACGCTCCAATGTCTCATACATCCTGTTATCTTTTATTCGAGTTTTAAAACACTCAGTGAATATACTAATTTTAGTAAGTATGCTCTTTCTTGTTTTGGGACCGCTTCTTGATCCGTTCCACAGCATTGAGATTCTGGCTCGGCACCAGCCCCTTAATAAATTTCGGAAAGGCCAATTGGCCAATTATTGTTTAATTAAAAACTATATAACGTACTCTATCGTTGGCCAATTATTATACTAGAAACTATACAACATAAAGTGCTCTGTCACTGGCCAATTATTATACTAGAAACTCGGTATACTATATAACGCGCTCTATCATTGGCCAAACAATATAACGCGCTCTATCATTGGCCAAACAATATAACGCGCTCTATCATTGGCCAAACAATATAACGTGCTCTATCATTGGCCAAACAATATAACGTGCTCTATCATTGGCCAAACAATATAACGTGCTCTGTCACTGGCCAATTATAAATACCAGGCAAAAATACAGGAAAGCCTTCAAAGGACTTTTACTTCAATCTTGAATAATCTCTATTGCCTACAGCTATTTCTAGATAACTGAGAGACTCTGATTCGTGATTGGTTGAAAATGACGTTMTTTGTAAGTCGCCAGCGCGCGCACGCTTCAATAAAAAAGAGAAAAACTTCATTCTAACACACATATTTTCACACATTTTTGTTGAAAAATGTACAAGTATCATTCCTAAAAACTAAATTATTTTTTGAATACGGCATACGGAAGAGGGCCATGAGGGAGCAACTCCTGAATTTGTCAGGAAAAATTACTCATGTATGTAAAATAATGATGAAATGGTAAGACAGAGTCGGTCTTTATTGGGAAAGACTTGGTCGTCGCCAGGACACACTCCACAGTCTGTATCCTGCAAAGAACATTTGCATTGGGATATTWTGGGGAATCAAATAATCACCATTGCACTATGAAGTGTACATCTTKGCGAGGCTATGAGGTTTTGAATAACTGAAAGTGAATATGTAATTATATACGGCAATCCCGAGATTCTTTGCAGGCTCAAGACCGCAGACTGTGTCCTGGCGACGACAACGTTTTTTTGAAATAGGTGTAAAAGATAGGTGCAACTTGTCGGCTTTTCTCAATAGGTCTTATAGAGAAGACGAAAAATTCAATAAAAGTGGCAAAACTCAATAAAATGCATTCTCATACGCCTCGGACTGGAACTAATTGCGCGAATTTTATCTTCGAGTGTTGAAAAGATCTCTCACGAGTGAGCGTAGCGTAGATTTTAAACACGAGAAGATAAAATTCGTATCTCAAAGCGACCATATTTATCATATAATTAAATACGAAAGCAAATTATGTCGGAAAATATCTTTTTCCTTACTTCCACTATATAAAAAAATTAAAAAAAAAAAAAAATACTTCCACTATATAGAGAAACCTCGAATGTGTTATTTTCACTAGTGAAAATATCAATTTTACGTAATGGAGAAATATAGGTATTACATAGATAATTATATGATAAATCAATATATTTCTGTTATATGTATTTCCTTCGCTTTTTTCCCCTCCCGAATAATTAATGAGTATGAGAAGTCGTTCAAAGTCCTCCAATTCGGACTGGACGGGATTTCAAGTCCGCGCAATTAGATCCCGTCCAGTCCGAATTGGAGGACTTTAAACATTACTTCAAATTCACACAATGTATGCARAGTTTCAGGTCATGGTTCGTTTGTTATGGTTTTGCRCCATCAGGTAGCAGGTCTACAACACAACGAGTTGTAGGTCAACTGAAGAGGTTTACCTAAGTAAACTACACTAGATATGACAGAATAATGCCTTGTTTTACTGTGTGAAAGACCAACACATTTAATATAATACCAGTGCAATATATGTACTTGACTTTCAATGCATTGTGGGATCAGTTTCTAGAGAAAACAAAAGAAATCCGCCATGTTTTGTCCCAAACATATCCTATAATGCATGGCATATACGGTATGTATATGACGCAAAAGCTTTAGAGGTCTATATACGAATTCTTCCGAGGTTTCAGMGAAGAAAATATCAGAAAAGAATAAACTAGTTTTTGTTGGCTCGCTCTAGTGTGCATGAAGATCACAATCTATGTAATCATACAACCGATTAAGATCCTTTCAGTCTATCGGGATTTGAGCAAATAAAGTATCATAAAGATGATATTTCCATTGGTGTTATGATTGTTTTATGAGATGCTATACTGCTTCTAAAGGACTCTAAAAGTTTGGTAACACAATTGCAATCTGGAATGGTCAAAATACATGGGTGAAACCGATGAGCAAAATTGAGTCTTCAATACGAATCGCCTACATCCCAGGTCATGCGGGAATCAAGTATAATAAGGCAGCCGACCATCCATCTGGAGTGAATGGCAGGACCATTCCGATACATGACTTTTTACCAGCAAGATATTACCAATCGACTGAAAGAAAACTTGAGTAATGACAACACCAAAAAAGACCTGGTGGTCGTTTCAAAGAATGGAAGAAAGGTCAATTGAATTTGGAGATGGAGACGAAAGACAACTACGTCAACTACGACAACAAAAAAAGTGCGGTGCCCAGCCGGCTGATATGATTAGAGTCTATTGACTATTCTTCGCTCATAAGATCTACCTTAGATTATGCTTCTGTAGTCTTTGCTGACCTACCAAAATATCTCTATGCTACTCTTGAGAACATCCAAAGGCGTGCGCTGGCTATTATTTGGCCAGATTCTAGTTATTCTGATTCGTTAGTTAAAGCCAATCTCTCGAGCAAAGGCGCAATGAGAAGTGAAAGGAATTTGTTAGGGATATCAGAGTCAAACCAGACAACCCAATTTATCCATTAATTAATGATCGAGTTGTAACCTCTTGTCACGGCATGTCTCTAAGATCTGGAAATAATCTTCGCCCCAATCGTGTGCCAGCCAATAGATTCCAAAATTTTGTAACTGCAAAATTCCAAATGTAAGTGTTTTGTCCTTTTCCATTTATTTACCAAGCCTGTAATTCAGTATTATCATTACTGCCAGTGGGCTTAATAAACAGTATTRTTATTATTATTATAACCCGACTAAATAACATCAATACTGAAACCCAGGAAATCATGGGGTTAAAAAACACTCTGACAAACACYCTTAAGAAGGGATGGCCAGAGAGCTGTATCTCTTGATTCACTAAATAAATAAATATGATTGCCACATCCCTTTCCTCTTTACGAACTAGAAATATTCATAATCCCTAATATTCATGCACGCCCTGCCCTTGTCCTTCATGTTGGAGTTGTCAGGCTGCTCAAGTACAGAATCATTGTCGCGTGACATGAGGTGCGTTTTTTTGTGGTGGTTTTATCATAAATGACATGAAGATACAGTTTGTCTTTGGCATGCTCGAATTTCCTGTTTACAGGAAAAGGAGAGTTGAAAAAGGAAGAATGTGAGACGAATAAATTCAGAAATTGTAATGACAAATATTTACATATTACATTATTATAGAACAATTATGTGTCCTCAACAACCATCATAGCAACAAAGTCTTTGTAGAAGACCACACCCTTCTCTGGGTCAACAGCGGCAGACAGCATTTCTTCCATCTCTTCCTGGGTAAATGGCTCCCCTGTTAATTCACATATTATAACATTCACACAGAAACCTATAAKGGATTTCTTCAGTACCAAGCGTCGGAATATTCAAAGCTCATTAAAAATTCGAAAACGAACGTTATGACCATATTTTGAAAATTCGGCCGTTGGATAAGAGATTTAAGGCCCGTTCTGGTTGGCTATATAGGGTAAATTTAATTGTTCCAAATAAGGAAATGAGCATCCTCGGGAACCCAGGGGTAATCTTCTGTCGTTCATTCCTCACTCCCAGAAAATTCTTTCTGGGAGTGAGGAACGAACGACAGAAGATTACCCCTGGGTTCCCGAGGATGGGAAATGAGATGCAAAATTAGATTTGAATATTCCAACAGTTGGCAAGGCGTTACACGTTTCAAGTCCCTTATAGGTTTCTGATCCATATCAATGACCATTTGACACTCAAAGTAAATGCCATAGGATCACAGTAACCATGCTTCTTTATCTTGTCATGTGTGTTTAATTGTGCATTCTTGCAGTTTTTTTTATGAGTTTTACCAGTATATGACTGGTCAAAGATGGGAAGGAGAATTTGTATACAACATTTTTTTAATGAGCTGTTTTATCCTTCAAGATGTAAAAAGACTCGGTGTTCTGCTGCAAGCTATATGTGTGAAAAGATGTAAATAATGCAGATATTTTGTTTTACCTTCTTCAGTCATGTATTTTGTTAATTCTTCTGTTGTCAAGTAGCCATTTTTCTCTTGGTCAAGTACATCAAAAGCCTTTGAAAGCTGATCTTCTGGAGAAGGTTTGTATCTATAATTCACATTAAGGCCGTGTCACACTGGCGTTTTCTTCGTGCAACTTGTGTCGCGCAAAAAAATGTTGAAGTTCACGAGCGTTTTTTTACATGTGACACCCCCTCATGCAACTTGAACATTTCATTTTTTTGTTGAGAGAAAAGTAGAACTGGCTTCTACTTTTTTCAACATTTTTCGGAAAAACGCCAGTGTGACATGGTCTCTTGCAACTTCCAAATTTTTCAATTAGGCGCACGAACCCATAATAAAGCGAGAATCTGTCCTGTTGTCACTTGTTGTAATAATCAACAAAGATGCCCGACGCCATCTTTGGCGAAAGCGATAATTTTGAAGAAGAAAACGAGACAGAAAGTGAGATGATCGTACATTTTCAATTTACGCGTGCAACTTGAACATTTTTTTGTGCGAGCTAAGTTGCAACGGAATTTTGCTAGTGTGACATGGCATCGTGCAACTTCAACATTTTTTTGCGCGACACAAGTTGCACGAAAAAAACGCCAGTGTGACAAGGCCTTTAGTGTCATCCTGAATACTTTGTAACTGTTTGCTTTTGTTTGAAAAGAAGTGCTTGTTTTCTATTAGTCATTTTAGCCATGCAAACTTTGAAGCTCTAGCTGGCCGTTATAATTTTTATTTCTTGCTTCATTGAAAACAGACCAAGTTTGTAAAGGCTATTTTAATCAACCTCACAATGTCCTGAAATAACTTAACTCTGCACTGGTGGGCTCAAACAATTCATCAGTTCAGGGATTCTGATAATTTTAGTAGAAACTCACCGTCGTTCTAAAAGCACTTTTAGCATCTCAGGCTGAAACTTGTCGAAGCGTATGTATCCAGTAGGTTCATCTTCCTCAATCTGTATGCACAACAAAGAAATATTTTCAATGAAGTTAACAACTCTTCAAAATGAAATTCTTGCTGACTTTTCAAAAAATAAACATTACAGACACTATAGATGWTAATGCAATCTTCTTGCCATTTAAAACGCTTTGAAATGATCAGTCTTTTATTTGCAAGTTGTTTTAAAACTGTACTTTTGAACTTATAGAGGACATTACATATGGGTGTACAGACAAATTATGGCGACAAATACAAGTTTTTTTAGGTATTTTTTACAAAAACAGCTACAGCACTGACTTTGTTACAAWGAAATTTCACAACAACTGACAAAATTAGTGACAATCAACCTACAGCTACTGTGACCATACCGTACATCAGAGGTACCTCTGAGACTATGCAATGCATTCTACAGCCATATGACATATGTGTTGCAAAGACTGACCACAAGACAGACAAGGAGCTTTTTACAAAATAGCTTACACCAACTGTGCCATAGGGGACACTGCAGAGTCTCCTTATTAAATTTTGTTTTAATTACTGAATATATTATAAACAAAACAATTTGGAATTAATAGTCACTCCTAATGTTTAGAAAGTTCTCAAATTGCACTCGCCCTATCGTCCTTGTGCTATTACGCCCTATCGTCCTTGTGCTATTACGCCCTATCGTCCTTGTGCTATTACGCCCTATCGTCCTTGTGCTATTACGAAGACCTTTCAAAACATTACTTAATTGTGACTGTTAATTCCAAATTGTACTGAAGGTTGTACGATTTCCTACAAAAACTGCACTCCACTCAGTTTCAATTACCATTATGTATGTTTCACAAGTATTTTATTTTCTTTGCCACACAAAACCTTTTAAACCCTATATGCTAATGAGCAAAATTTGTAAACAAAGATCATCTGTTGTGTATTGTGCCCATAATGCAATGCGAACTAGAGAAATAAAGTGAGCTTATTGTGTAGTTTCATGGAGCATTACATTGGCGACGATTAAATTCGGAACAAAGAGATTAGATTAGATTACATGCAGATTAGATTAGGATTAGATTCGAAGAAGAAATATCATCAAATTCGACGGCGAGTTTGTCTGAAAGTTTAAAGTTCAGCAAAGTTGATGTGCACGGTTTGCATAATTTTAACCTAAGAGGAGAGCCTACTACGCTAGCAATCGAGTGGAAAGAAGCACAGGCTTACCAGTCTCTGAGGAGTTACGGGAGATGGGCTACCTGTGGCGACAAACTTAACGGATTTTCACATGTAGTCAAAATATCGTTTCTAAACCGTATCTTTTCATTCTTGAAATATCAAAAAACTTCAATAAAGATGGTTCAATAGTTTATGAACATTTTTGGAGGGGTTATTTTCGATTTTGATGCTGTTTTAGTGTGTTTTGGGAGGGTTAGATTTCGACCTTCTCCAGAGTGAAGAGAAAAGGGTTAAAGGCTGGCAGCCGATCGCTCTCGGCCGGCCAACTGGTCAACTTCAACGCCGAATTTTTCCACCTTACGCCGGTCCTACAAAATCAAGCTTTTGGTATGCTGCAGGATAATAATTTTCCTACATCCTCGCCAAATTTCAGCTTCCAACGACCAATATCAACTGAGAAAATCGACCGCGAAGGTCAAAAATCCACCTTGTAAATATGATATGCACAAATTTTGAACTCAAAGGAATGTGGAAACGGTCAAATTTCGCCTCTCCCCCTCTCCCCCAAGTCAAATTGTTCGTCGGTAAGAATCATTTAAAACATTAAAAACTATTCCTTGGTTTACTAGAAAAAATACTAAAAAATATTTCTTGTTCACGTCTTGTAGCAATGYGCGAGAATTGCATGTGTGCATGGTCAAAACAAATCTTAGTCCGCTTCATGATTGGTACTTTGGGGAGGGGGGAGAGAAATTTGACCGTTGCCACATTCCTTTGAGTTCAAAATTTGTGCATATCATATTTACAAGGTGGATTTTTGACCTTCGCGGTCGATTTTCTCAATTAATATTGGTCGTTGGAAGCTGAAATTTGGCGAGGATGTAGGAAAATTATTATCCTGCAGCATACCAAAAGCTTGATTTTGTAGGACCGGCGTAAGGTGGAAAAATTCGGCGTTGAAGTTGACCAGTTGGCCGGCCGAGAGCGATCGGCTGCCAGCCTTTAACCCTTTTCTCTTCACTCTGGAGAAGGTCGAAATCTAACCCTCCCAAAACACACTAAAACAGCATCAAAATCGAAAATAACCCCTCCAAAAATGTTCATAAACTATTGAACCATCTTWATTGAMGTTTTKTGATATTTCAAGAATGAAAAGATACGGTTTCGAAACGATATTTTGACTACATGTGAAAATCCGTTAAGTTTGTCGCCACAGGTAGCCCATGAAAGAAGCCACAGGTAAGCCTGTGAAAGAAGCATTCAATTTGTATTTACTGGAGAAAGTTCTAGCCTACTTCAAGAATGATTGCAAGAAACGTATAGTTGCTGATGCTAGTCCTACTAAAATTGGAGCTGTCCTACTACAATGCCAGGATGGTGAATGGAGAGCAGTCTCGTATGCATCTAGAAACCTGACAGATGTGGAAAGACGATATTCTCAAACAGAGAAAGAAGCTTTGGCACTAGTGTGGTCATGCAAAAGATTCAACATATATGTTTATGGCCCGTGAATTTGAGCTGGAAACAGACCACAAGCCTTTGGAGTGTATCTTCAGCAGAACCTCCAAGATGTCTGCCCGTATTGAGAGGTGGATGTTCCACCCTTATGGCCACAAGCCAATGGAGAAGTTGAAAGACAGAACAGAACCCTACTCAAGTCCTTGAAAATAGCTCAAGTCGAGAAAAAACCCTGGAGAGAGGAGCTCAAGACATTTTTACTTGCATACAGTTCTACTCTCCACAAAGTGCCACAGGAGTTACACCTGCAAGTCTTATGTTTGGTACAGAACTGAGGACAAAGTTTCCAGAACTTAGATGGGACAAGAGAGCTGTGGATGGAAGTGTTAGAGACAGAGAGTGGAACTGCAGGCAAAGCAGTAAGACACAGCAAGACCAGAGAAGGGGAGCAATTACCAGCAACATTAGCCCTGGAGATAAAATTCTTGTGAAAATTAATAATCGTACAGTCCCAAATAAGGCCGTATAGAGTGGAATATTTTGCCAAAATAAATAAGCGTATATATACGATTATTCGGAACTTCAGAGTGAATGACCCAGAAGAGAAACAAGAGTGACAGAAAGATTAAAGGACTATGTTCTATTAGTGTTGTAAACACTGGCTTTGTGCACATTTGCACATTAGAAACTTTGCCTCATTTGAGGGTATGAACTGTTTACATGTTATTTTAATAGTGTAAAACAAAAAAAAGGAGGGATGTTGTGTACGGTACCCAATGCAATGCGAACTAGAGAATAAGTGTGTGAGCTGTTGTAGTTTCATGGAGCATTACAGTATGTATTAATCAAAACTAAAATTTGCTACTTACATCAGCTAAAATATCGTGAAGTTCTCCTTCTGTAGGGCAGCAAAGCAACGNGATTTCCTATAAAAACTGCACTCCACTCAGTTTCAATTACCATTATGTATGATTCACAAGTATTTTATTTTCTTTGCCACACAAAACCTTTTAAACCCTATATGCTAATGAGCAAAATTTGTAAACAAAGATCATCTGTTGTGTATTGTGCCCATAGTGCAATGCGAACTAGAGAAATAAAGTGAGCTTATTGAGTAGTTTCATGGAGCATTACATTGGCGACGATTAAATTCGGAACAAAGAGATCAGATTAGATTACATGCAGAGTAGATTGGGATTGAATTTGAAGAGGAGTCACGTTATATCACAATGTTTGTAACACACCGTGGTCTATACAGATACAAGTGATTGATGTTTGGAATCGCATTAGCACTGGAGATGTACCAGAAAGTCATAACTGATGTATTACAAGGATGAGCAGGAGCATCCAACATGGCTGATGACGTCACTGTTTATGGTACAACGATTGAGGAACATGACAAGAACCTCTACAAAGACTGCAACGATTGAAAGACAAATGTCTAACACTGATCAGAGACAAATGTCAACTATGTCTGCACAAGCTTACTTACTTTGGTCATGAGCTGAGTGGAAGAGGAGTGTCTGCAAGCGAAGAAAAGGTTGCTGCGGTGGTGAATGCGAGACCACCCCAGAACATTGCGGAGCTGAGGTCATTTGTACAACTAGTTCAGTATTCATCAAAGTTCATACCAAACTTTGCTACAGTAGCAGAGCCACTGAGGAAGTTAACCGGTAAGAAGGAACAGCCATTCACATGGGGCAAAGAGCAGGAGAAGTCATTTCAGGAGTTAAAGTGTTTGATGACGAATGCTGAAGTGCTAGCCTACTTCAAGAATGAGTGCAAGACACGTATAGTTGCTGATGCTAGTCCTACTAAAATTGGAGCTGTCCTACTACAATGCCAGGATGGTGAATGGAGAGCAGTCTCATATGCATCTAGAAACCTGACAGATGTGGAAAGACAATATTCTCAAACAGAGAAAGAAGCTTTGGCACTAGTGTGGTCATGCAAAAGATTCAACATATATGTTTATGGCCCGTGAATTTTTGTTTATGGCCCGTGAATAACAAGCCTTTGGAGTGTATCTTCAGCAGAACCTCCAAGATGTCTGCCTGTATTGAGAGGTGGGTGTTCCACCCTTATGGCCACAAGCCAATGGAGAAGTTGAAAGACAGAACAGAACCCTACTCAAGTCCTTGAAAATAGCTCAAGTCAAGAAAAAACCCTGGAGAGAGGAGCTCAAGACGTTTTTACTTGCATACAGACCTCTACTCTACACACTGCCACAGGAGTTACACCTGCAAGTCTTATGTTTGGTAGAGAACTGAGGACAAAGTTACCAGAACTTAGATGGGACAAGAGAGCTGTGGACGGAAGTGTCAGAGACAGAGAGTGGAACTGCAGGCAAAGCAGTAAGACACAGCAAGACCAGAGAAGGGGAACAATTCCCAGCAACATTAGCCCTGGAGATAAAATTCTTGTGAAAGAAACAAAGACAACTGGAAAGTTAACACCAAACTTTGAGAAAGTCCCACTTACAGTGATCCTTAAGGAAAAAGCAGTAGTTACTGTGCAGGCTGAACCCAATTGAATGACCCAGAAGAGAAACAAGAGTGCCAGAAAGATTAAAGGACTATGTTCTATTAGTGTTGTAAACACTGACTTTGTGCACATTTGCACATTAGAAACTTTGCCTCATTTGAGGATATGAACTGTTTACATGTTATTTTAATAGTGTAAATAAAAAAAAGGAGGGATGTTGTGTACGGTACCCAATGCAATGCGAACTAGAGAATAAGTGTGTGAGCTGTTGTAGTTTCATGGAGCATTACAGTATGTATTAATCAAAACTAAAATTTGCTACTTACATCAGCTAAAATATCGTGAAGTTCTCCTTCTGTAGGGCAGCAAAGCAACGATCTAACTATAGTTCCAATTTCTCTGCAGAAAAATGATACAATGTCAACATGGATCTACACCTACATGTAGCCTTTAAGGGATTCATTTATAGGTGTCTCCCACATTATTATGAAAAGTAGTTTAGAAAGCATGCACTTGGGCAAACAAATCAACACATTTTATTACTTTGTTGTTAACACAATCAAAAACYTTTAAACAGTATAATCAACACGATGTTTGTCTGGTTTTCATACGAATGGACATGTTCTATATCTTCTACATTTAAGCTTACTGGTATCTTAGATATAATTAATAAAAATGTCTATCATCGAGATTATTTCTGATTTTTTTGGTTTTGAGMGAGTCAAAATCGATGCGCTATATTTTTATGTCATACCTAACGTCAACAGTTTTGTTCGCTTCGTGATCAAAAATATCGAATGCTTCGGTAATCTTCTTCTGAAGTTCTGCTGCAATGTTATCGCCGGGATCTGGAGGTTTTTCTGTCGGCTCTGTACTGTTTCCAACAGGAGTTCCACTCTCCGCCATCTTGCTTTGCATTGCACAGTTGCTATGACAACTACGACAGGAAGCCCAAACAAAACGAATTCGTTCTCAGGCCTCTCGTTATTCATCGGCCGTGAGTTCGTGGGTATAATTTAATAATGGCGAGCAATGGYGTGGTAAGTCGTACCTTATTTTTGCTGTTTACTCTTTTCAAGTTTTCACAAAATTCTCTCTTCTATGCAGAGTGAATTGCTAAAAGAACTTCCTTCATTCAATCAATCAAATTTCTCGCGATACCACCGTGAGTCGGCTTGCAAACCATCGGTAAGAGAGCTTCATTTATGGGAATAATCAGCATCTACACCAAGAAATATCGATCTACAGTTTGTAATGCCTTTCTTTGTGTCTCTAGAATAGACGACCTGCAGTATATCTACCAACTAAAGAGGTTTTAATGCATGAGCAAAGTAAGATTTACTGATTTTCCACATATATTCCACAGTATAGACTACTAGTATATTTTACTAGTATTGTTTAAGATGTGATGCTTGATAATCATGWGTAGTTTTCTAAATACATATTTTAAGCTTGTCTCATTTTAGAAAATTATTTATTTTCAATCAAGTGTAAAYTGAGTGATGTCGCCTTGAGTTCGACTTGCTCTACTAGTTTAAATGTGTGTTCACAAATCAGACTTTATGCACTTGTCATTGGCTTCCACGGGGACTTTGATTTGAACACAATTCAAATTAAGAATTTTCTCCATATGTGGGATACATTATCCCAGAATATTCCCAATAATGTACCCAGTACCCGAGCCCAAAATGTAAAATGCTCCATCCAYTCAAAACAGTACAAGAAAGATAACTCGTAAATTTGAAATCTTGAAAGTCATTATCTCATGTCAGGTATAGACCCCTTGCATGTGACGTCAAAGCAGCTTCATCTGGAGGACAAAACAAAAGATGTTTATCCTCTTGGGAACTAGAATCTATTGTTTTGTCCTCCAGTTGGAGCTGCATTCCCATGAACTGCAAGGGGTCTATACTTCATAAAAATCATTTAGTGTTGCCACAAATTTATGAGATAGTGAACCTTAAACTACAGTATTGAAAAAATAATATAGAATATAACAATAATTGAAATATTTTGTCTTTGCTTTGTTATTTCCCCCRTCTGTCATTGTACTTKCCATGTGGAGGCTAACACAGGTATCCCACATCTGACATGACAGGCAACTGCACATGTGGGAGGTGAAAAATATGTGCATTACAATGACAATAGAGGACAAATTGCTAGAACCAGTTATTCATAGAGAAACATGTATGGTCACTAATTTACTTGTTGAGAAAATTATTTCACATCTTGGCTGATTGTATGGTTGGTGTTGTGAGGGAGGTATACCTCATACCCATTACATCAATGAGTCCATATTCATACCCAGGGCTCGAAAAACCTGGCCAGTCAAAGGACAATGTCCTTTCAAATCTGCTAGATGACCCACCAAATCATTGATTTTGAAAGGAATAATGGACCTGCCACAATTTTGGCCAAAAATATCAATTCCCAATTTGCTAATAAATCTTTTAGAAACTTAATTAAATTTCTTACTTTTCTTTTGCAAGGTTGTCTATATTTCTTTTATCATAAAACAACAACATTAATCAACAACAGTAATTGGCACAACTAGCAAAAAGWTTCCTCAGGTCACGGACAGATAGGCTTTTTAATTCAAAATTTACTTTGAATTGTGACTTTCCTTTGATCAGATATTGGTCATTGTACTTTTATATAATGCCTTGTCTAGAGCATAAACCATTTTTTTCAATTGACAAGAAGACAAAAACAGCAWGAGCGAAAAAGGTGTTTGCGAGTAACACTGGATGGAACTCAGGCAAAGGTTTTAGTTTCTCAGTGAAAATTGTGTGAAGAGAGCCTTGTTCTGTATTAGTTACAATAGTATGCCTGGGAATTTATTAGTGACATGAATTTTTTGTTTGTATTTCAGCAATAGTCACAGATAAGACCAATATTCTATTAAGATATTTGCAGCAACAATGGGAAGCAAAGGTATGCCGTTCATTTGACATTCTAGTCTTTGCCAAGGGACYGGCACTTATTTGCTTAGGAACCCAAACTGTATGTTATTAGCAAGGAAGAGGAATTGCGTGTTGTCTCTACAGTTTCATGTAACACCTTGAAGGTACAAAGCTTACCTTTTCATCAAAGTGACACAACCAGTGAGTTTGCAATGAAATAATTGTGAGTTGAAGGTTTTTAAGTTTTCTTACAATCGTGGTATGATTACCTTTAGATGACACAGGAAACATTGAAAGAGACTTTTTAGTATAAAAAACTATGTTGATATTCATTGTTTATTAGTGTCTTGTTGTTGCATATATGAGTGAATTCTTAACTTAATAACTAAAATGTGAATTTGAAAATATTATTTTACACTAAATAGTTGGCAGTTGTCTCATTGACATATTCAAAAAAATTCCATTGCCCATGGGAAAAATCTTTCATGTCGCTTCAATTATTCAGAAAAATACAACGTAAACTGTTTGCATTCTTTGAATTGGCTTTTAGAAAACCCTGGTGATGTTTACTAGTAAATAAAGAAGTGATTTAACTTATTGCATTGATTGAAGCTGGAACAATTACTATGTACAGCCTTGCTGCAATCGAACATCATGACTCAACACACTTATTCACCAAACGATTTCAGACTTAAATTTCTGAGAAAAAGAAATGCCGAATGGAATATCAGTTCGTAGTCTATGAGATAGATATGAAAGAAAGTTATAGTGCTTACAAGGAGGTAATTCTGGAAGAAAGACCCTTGGAAAATTTATATATTCGGTAAAATGATATTCGGAAAAAATGACAATGCGCATAGCTCTGTATTCAAGAGAATTAAAGAAAATTATAATTGACTTTATCTTTTTCTTTTTGTCAGAATTCAAGTAAGAAAAGAGATACAGCAACTGCTGACCTTCCAGAACAAGAGGATAGTATAAGATCTAGAAAAATCCAGCGTATTGATAATGACACACCCGACTAAGGAGAGGAATATTGGGCTAGGCAGTTATTTCTTTTACTCCAAGATATTTTATGTAGACATGTTACCGCAAAGGATTTGAAACACTCAGAATGATARTTGCTCTAAACCTATGGAGAAAGCACTTTACAGCGATAAAAGATGAACTTTCYCTTTGCAGTGTCAATGTTGAGTTACACGTAGATATTGCTATTCATCTACGTTTAGACGAACAATGGCTCGAAAGCCCGGACTTGAATAAATGGGATAAAGTGCGGAGTAACATTTATTCATACTATACACCCCACTTACGATKACTAATTTATTTGAGAATTTACAATTAGTTATTTCAAATCTCAGTCAAGTTACAATGTTAAAAATTAGTTATGACTACGCTGTTGATAGTAAACCAAAATAAGTAGCGTTTACAGTAAAACAATGATCGAAAGGTATCTCAATTGGAAACAAGCTTCATGCAAAAACAATGATGGACATTTATCAGCCTGCGCGTAGTGTATAGACTATAGAGCGATACTTTTTTCAATAGGTGTACTCTGTTGTCCAAATAATGTCAACCTTTTCAGTCGAATATTTCAGTCGTACTAGGTAAAGGGAGTTTTAAAGGAAGAGACGAGCCCAAGAGTTTACTTTTCGACCGTTAAAGCAAACTATAAGAATGAAGTAGATATGTCCCGGTTCAAGGAATACGATATTCGTCGCTGATTCGCAGACAAGATATATCCAGTTTTGATTCGGCTACACGCGGGCTAACRTGTGATGCAGTGGCGAATGCAGAACGGTACAAAGAAATACAGTTGGACCCGCCATTGAATGCCCTTGAGGTCGTGTCGAGTGAACAAGCCTGAACACTACATCTCTTGAGTTTAACCCTCGAAGAGTAATTTCAGTTGTTGTTTTATTTGAACTATTCTAGGTTGTAAATAGCAAGCATGCTTTCATTACAAGCACTTAGATTGTTATAGGCATCGAAAACTGCCGGCTGCTTTAGTACCATGTTAAGGTATCTGGATACAGTTGTTTAGAACACCGACCGGGACGAAAGAAACGGGTCAAAAAGTAATTCAAGTTGGTCAGATCGTAATAATATTTTASTACATGATTAACAAGGGATTCCAATTCATATTGAGTAAATTTTTGGAAAATCGGCTTTAATTTATGCGTTTTATGGGGAAATCCAGGAAACRCTTTTACAGCTATTTCAAACAAATTAAGCCTATTTTTTCCGCGATATCTCAGGGACATAATATTTAGAGGTATTGCCTAACTATAACCAAAGTTTGGTCGAAATTCRTCGAGGAAAGACAACATCATGCGGTACTTAACTTGGAGCAAGAATTTTCAAAGAATAAGAGCGTATACAAAATCAAAAATTCACATTTTACTTTGTATCAAATATATATTGACCGATTTCTGGAAAAGAACTTTGATTATAGTTTGGTTATAGTTAGGCAATACCTCTAATATTATGTCCCTGAGATATCGCGGAAAAAATAGGCTTAATTTGTTTGAAATAGCTGTAAAAGCGTTCCTGGATTTCCCCATAAAACGCATAAATTAAAGCCGATTTTCCAAAAATTTGCTCAATATGAATTGGAATCCCTTGTTAATCATGTAGTAAAATATTATTACGATCTGACCAACTTAAATTACTTTTTGACCCGTTTCTTTCGTCCCGGTCGGTGTTCTAAACAACTGTATCCAGATTCCTTACTGGTTGCAAATTCAGAGACGACATAATGTCTGAGTAATTCACACTCTTATATAAATATCTGCTGCTAAGTATATGTTACTTTAAATCATGGTCTATCGCAGTTTTTCCGTATTTGTAAATATCATTTAATCAAATATATTATAATAGTAAATACCTCGTTTTTAGTTATTTTCAGTTATTACATAACTGATTCATGCAGAACAGYACTGTATGTCCTGTATTTAACGCAAACTGTTCAGTGAAATAAACGTTCTTTTTCTCTCAGTCCCAAGCAATAGTCGGGCAGCCTATGTGTAACCGTGAAAAAATCAGTGTTTTTGAAATCGGCTGCTTTAGAAGTTGGAAATCATTATGACAAAAGAGTTGATAAGGCTGCACTCATTATGTATACTACAGGGAAGGTAGGGGGAGGGGGTTCAGAGGAAATTTGGGGGGATCTGAAAATTTAGGGACTGGAAAAGGGAGGATGTCAATTTTTTTGGCCATACATTAAATGTCTATCATGGYCGAAAATAAACATCTCTGTTAGAACTGTAACACTAGACTAAAAACTATTTTACACTGATTAAAATTGTCCCAGTTTAGCAATTTAGCAATGACAAATACACTAAAAACATACAAATGAAATTATAGATTACTGGATCGAAACGTCTCACCGCTTCGCGGCTTGACAATATAGTAAGCAAAACAATAAAAGACAGGCCTCTTCAACCAGGCTAACAGAGATCGACCATCACTTTCATTATTGTTGCTGCTGCAAGAAGTATATTCGTATAGTTTACAACACGGACGCGAATGTTGTAAACGACTTATAAAACTCCAACACTAATTAACATGAATTACAGTGAGATAAATGACGAAAAATGACAATTAAGGTAACTGCTGAGTTTAGTCGCTATTAAGCATGCGCAATTTACTGCAACAGAGAACATTTTGAATAATTATCCATCCCACATGGAAAAGCAAGTCATCTGTTTCATAAGAGAGTTCTGTTATCTGTCTTTGATTGCTTCAGAACCTAGTGAAGATCTATGATGCGATACTAAAACTGAGACCTTTGCTAGTGTTGGGTTGTCTCAATGGTGACGACCGTGTTGTAAATCAAGGTCAATCACCTGATTAAATGGAAAGCCCTTATTGGAGTAATAGCTCATGCATTATTAATAAGTTTTATAAATCATAATATCAACTGCATCAACAGGATTTCCCATAACCTTCAAGTATTGCATGCTGGACTAGTACAAGAGCATGACCAGAAAATACATTGAGCCTACTTAGGTATTTCAGTGCTTCAAGATGAAATCTAGTCTTAAGATTGAAGATAAGCATAAAATCACTCGTTTACTCATTAAATTTTCCCATTTTTTTTTAATTTGTGGTCGAACAAATTTAGGGGGAATATGAAAATTACTGCTGAAATTTTTGGGGGATCCAAAAATTTGGTTCCTTCTAGCAAGTTTCTCTGTCGATAAGAAAATTCGAGGTTTTTATGATCGCTTTTTTTTTTGGTTTGTTTACATTCTTTCCAGAAAATGTATCGTGTCAGTGCACGCTTTCGATTCTTGGCACAGCATCCATCGCTACACGAAAATCGTCTATTGGCCTATTTCATTATGACATCATATCAAAACATTCTTTTGTTTTAAAGCTAATATGGTCGCCAGAGGGGATCAGAGTGACTCCATATCAAATTGTACATGAGCAATCTTTGATAAATGACACATCGAAACACAACATTGAATTTCTGCTTTTGGAGAGAATACAAATTGATCCAAATTTCCAATGTTTTTGCGCACCTATCTCCGATCATATTAACTGTGACGTCATAACGAAATACGTGAATTCCAGCTCTCCTTTTAGTAGTCAGTAGTAGTCTTTAATTCATATGACAAATGGTACATATATGTTACAAATGTATTTATCAATGCGTAATTAATACAATAAATATCATATGTATAAAATAACCTATTAAGTAACAATGCGCTAAAGAACTAGGGAACTCTATTGTTCTGCGGCATAGCAAGTTCCCCATGTACGAATGTCTTGGTTTTCACAATGATTATGTATCCATCTGTGGGTAACACATTTTTGAAATAAAATGTGGATAAACTCTATTTTGAAACAAAGTTTCTTTTGTATTAAAAGCTCTTATCCAATCATAAGCACTCAAAACAATAGCCAAAAGATGCTTCTAATTTGCTATGTTCCCCACGTAGAATTGCCTTAATATTAAAGCTAAAGAAAGCTTTCATGAAAGCGAAAACAGACATTAAATAAAATATTAGAAAATTCGCTAACTTGTGAAATTATAGCAGATTTTCATGTTTTAACCAATGGGATGGATGGATTATACAATGCGCAATTAGCACCTTCTTGCATTCCTGTGCCGTTTGCTTCCCTAGTTCTTACTCGGAGCATTACTTAATGTATATAAGTGTTCATGAAACGAGAAGTCTTTATTTCTGGCGGCTCTTGACCATGCTCAGGCGCCTCAGATGGTACTTTGTGGCAATACCTGTACATTAGCAATATTTTTATAATAGAGCTAAGTGTATTTTGACCACGTTAAATAAAGTTTATCTTGGATGTTTTCTTCTTTGGCAAGTATTTATGTAAAGGATGGTTGCTGGACGATTTTGATTTTTTGTATATTTTGAAGTCTTGGTCCTTAAGGATGTCGCGTCTAGAGGTTTCAAGAGTGTATTTTCTTTTGTGGCATCTGTCTAGGAATGTTTGGACAGTCGTAATCTCTGAATCTACGGTGGCCCGTAGGGGACATGCTGCAAATAAAACGAGTTGCTGCAAATAAAAAACGAGTTGCTGCAAATAAAACGAGTTGCTGCAAATAAAAAACGAGTTGCTGCAAATAAAAAACGAGTTGCTGCAAATAAAAAACGAGTTGCTGCAAATAAAAACAAGTTGCTGCAAATAAAGCGAGTTGCTTCAAATAAAAAAGCAGTTGCTTCAAATAACACAAGTTGCTGCAAATAAAAAAGCAGTTGCTGCAAATAAAACGAGTTGCTGCAAATAAAAAAGCAGTTGCTGCAAATAAAAAAGCAGTTGCTGCAAATAAAACAAGTTGCTGCAAATAAAAAATAAAACGCTGAGCGCGCATTTGGCCGGTAAAGACTAGGTCCTACTATTCAGTCCAAATGCCAACTTCAAACGTGCAGTCACAGGGATCCCAAGCAATACTTTGACTCTATAATAGTTAAAAATAAAAGTTTACTCAGGCCATGTGAAAATGGAGTCATAGATATGCGTCCACCGCCCGCATGGTCCGAGAGATGCCGCATAATGAAAATTTTCATTATTTGTAAAAACAATCATTATTCATAAATAAAATCTTTA